ACGAGAGTTCAATCAAAAAAGAAGATTGACAAATAGGACTCTCTGTAGATGATCCCCTCCACCCTCTTCCCACTGCTAGTATGTAACTTTACCACTACCCTTAATCGGAGAGGGACTGGATAGACTACGGTCTTCAAATTACTTCACCAAACTCAACATCAAGGACACATACTACAATATATACATCAAAAGAGGAGACGAATGGAAGACTACATTCGCCTCAAGATACGGGATATTCGAATACTTGGTTATGCCTTTCGGGCTAACTAATACCCGGGCTTCATTCCAAAGATAGATCAACACGGTCCTCAATAAGTACCTCGATATAGGTTCCATCGTATACTTAGACTATGTACTCATCTACTCCGAAACCATGCAACAACATCAGAAGGATGTCAGCAATATTATAGCCATAATACAAGGATTAGAAATGAAGATCAAAGCCACGAAATGCGAATTGGACAAAGAAGAAACTGAATACCTGGGATTTATCATCAATTAGAGCGGGGTCAAGGTCAATCCAGTCATAACAGCAGCAATATGGGATTGGGCCAAACCAAATAACAAAACAGATATTCAATGCTTTATAGGATTCTACAACTTTTACCAAAGGTTTATAGAAGGGTTTAGCGGGCTTGTAAAACCACTCTATAACCTAACCAAGAAAGACAAGAAATGGGAATAGGGAGAAACAGAACAAAAAGCATACAAGGCCATCCGGACACATCGGACATCACGACCAATACTGGTACACTTCGACCCAAACCGAAGAACAATGATTGAAACGGACACCTGAAAGTTTGTATGTTCAGGCATACTATCGCAACAATGCCAAGATGGAAAATGGAGGCCAGTGTCTTATCAATCCAAGACAATAACCCCCGCAGAATTCAACTACGACGTTGCAAACACAGAACTTTTAGCAATAGTTCAAGTATTAAAAGAATGGAGGAGATACATTCTGAACAATGACCATCCAGTCCAAGTTGTAACCAACCACAAGAATTTGGTCCCATTCATGACTACGAAGGAATTGAATGACCACCAGAAAAGGTGGATGGAATACCTCAGCAAATTCAACTTTAAAATCGAATACTGATCAGGCAAAGAGAGCGGGAAGCCAGATGCTCTCACAAGGATTGCAAGCCACAAACCACAAACAAAAGAAGATGAAGGGATCAAACAAAAAACACAAACACTATTACTAAAAACCTACTTTGAGGCAATGGAGGTTATCCAATTCACATCAAAAGAAGGAAAGGAAATCGAGATGGTAAAAGGAGATGACAAACCAAGTCCGGCAATAAGACAAGCATTGAAGGAGGGAAAAAAGAGATGAAAAGAATCACTCTAGGTTTATACCAATGGGAGGATGGAAACATGTAGTACGACGGAAAGCAATGGATTCCAGAAGAAGAAAAGATAAGAACCGACATCATATGACAACACCACGATATCTGAAGGGCAGGACATGGAGGAACGGCAAAAACAACAGAATTCATGATTAGGTGATTCTATTGGCCAGGACAGCACGAACACATCAAAAGATATGTCAAGAATTGCGACTTATGCCAAAGGACGAAAACAGCTAAACACGTACCATATGGATTACTGAAATCAAACGAAGTTCCCAAAACACCATGGGAAATAATTACTATGGATTTCATCAGGGACCTACCATTATCAGAAAAATGCGATAGCATTCTAGCCATGATGGATGGTCTGACCAAAATGAGTAATTTCACACTGGTCAGAAAAGATATTGATACAAGAGATTTTATACAAAGATTCTTCCGAGACGTCTTTCCACTTCACGGCCTCCCAAAGAATATCATTACTGATCCAGGAACATTGTTCACATCAGGACTGTGGAAAAAAGTAACCAGAGAAATGGGGATACAAACCAAGCAGAGCGTAGCATTTCACCCACAGACAGTTAGATAAACGGAATGGGTAAACGCAATACTAGAACAATATTTATGGGCCTACGTCAATTACCAACAAGATGATTAGTACCAACTGCCATCAATGGCCGAATCCGCGTACAATAATGGTAAACAAGAAACAAGCAGTACAAAACTCTTCTTTGCGAATTACGGACAACATCTAGAAAGTCAGACGACATATTATACCACTAAGGGTATAATACTGGATAAAACAGACATGGGAAAACAGCACGAGATATTACAAGACAAAATGAGTCAAGCACAATAACAGCAAAAAGAACAATACCATAAACGCTGAAGACCAGATCCAAATATACAATCGGGAGATATACTGTGGCTAATACTACGCAATATCTATACGACACGACCATCAAAGAACTTGGACTATAAGAAAATCGGGCCATTCAAGATACTGGAAAGAGTGGGCAACTGAGCTTATAAACTCGATGTTGCCCCCTCAATGCAAATATACAACACATTCCACATCTCACTCCTCGCATTACACAACGACAATAAGTTTCTCTCACAAACAATTATTCCTCTTCCTCCGTTTGAACTCAATGGAGAACCAGAATATGAACTCGATGAGATAGACGATTCTCAATTTGTCTAAGGAAATATACAATATCGAGTCAAGTGGACCGGTTATTTCCCAGAAAATGGTAAAACCTGTGACTCCCCACACAATTTTTGAACACACACAAGATGTCATCTCAACATTCTACCAGCGATACCCGGGCAAGCTCAGCCTAGTTAATGATCACATTCAACCAAGACAAAGGTAAGAGAAAGGCTCCTATGCCATTACAACCACACAAGGGCTGGGGCGATAGCCCCAGCCAAACCACATCAACCAGCCCCAAATACTCATTTATGGAGCCGACCAATGCAGAACTCAGGGAAAGGGAAAAAGAAGCACAGTATAATGCCATGTGACAGACGGTATGTAACAATGATCGATCTCCTACATACTATGGGGACAAGAAAGGCTCAGGATAGTTCCAGAGAGAATACAAAAAGTATCATCCGTGCCCAGACCATGCCCTAAACACTGAAAACAGTGCTTCAACAACACTTATAAGAAGTACAGAATAAGGAAAATCACGGCCAGTTAAGACCTGCAGAGGGATAGAACAAAGAAAGAGTTGGATGGAAAGGATGCCAAGATATGGCAGAGGGCTAGGGCCTCGAGGAAGAGGCCCAGAGAGGGGGGAGCCCAAAATTGATCTACAGAAACAGAACCGGATACCAGAAGCCTGTACAGGCAATTCAGAGAACACTGAGAACAACTGGGCCAACCCGAGGCTACAATTTTGGCAAATGATAAAACCATCATGGAGCTGAGGCAGCTGAACGATGCCCAGCAGTGCATGATCGAGATAATAAACCTCACCTTGGGAAACAGTGAGGATAAGATGGTGGAAAGCAGACGATAAGCTCTGTATATTCTGGAGGTCTATGCGTTCAGCAGGACGAGAACTATTGAAACTTGGAAATAATGCTTGCTTGGGCTCAGGCTTAGGAGGAGAGGAGCTAATATCACAAATGTGACTTGGCACGGTAAAGGTTTTCACATAACTCAAGATTAGAAGTCATAGGTATGTTATTGTTTCATGCATATGACTCATTTGGATCACATGTTTAATTATGTTATGATTGATTATGTTTCACACATGACTCAATTATGAGTCATGGGATGTGCACCTGGGGAGTATGCCTTGCGAGTGTGTCTTGCGAGTATGTCTTGTGCAGATGATTTATGTTTTGCACATGACCTCATTATGAGGTTATGGGTTTCACGCATCGGACTCAGTTGAGTCATATGACTTGTTTATTGCGTTATGATTGGTTTATGAGTTTTTGCACATGACCTTGCTACGAGGTCATGGGTTTTGAGTGTGAGACCACTTTGGTCACATGACTAGTTTGTTATAATTTGGTTTTACACATGTGACCACTTTAGGTGACATACTGATGGGCAGGAAGCACACAATATAAGAAGGCCAATGCGGCCGAGGAGGATAGGTTCTTCATGCTTTGTTCTAAGTACTTTTCCTGGTCCTTGCCGTCACTTCGCCCTGAGCGTTTCTTTCGCCATCATGGGTCTTGATCTCTTGGATTCTGGGGGAGATATCTGAGTTCACTCAGTAGTTCCTGGGGTCTTTGGTGTTGAGGTCTATTAGGTGTTGCATGGAGGATACCTTGTTTGCGGTTCGTTTCGTTGAGTTGGTTATCTCATGATACTAGCACTTCCAGCACTTCATCACGGTCTCATGCGAGCCCCTTTCGGTAAAATGTCTACAGCTTCCTGTCTATCGTCTACTCCCAGGTTTCGTGTTCGATTGGAGGGATGGAACATTGTGTTTGGGGGGATCACCCGTGTCATTCGTTGGGCCAGCTCATATCTTTTGTTGGGTTTTAACGGAGTCCTTAGTTCTCGCGATACAAAACACCCTTGGGTTAGGCTGATGACCTTCCTAAGTATCAACTCGTCGTACTGGCCGCATCATCCCTCAGGTGGCAGGGTGGTACCCACCAAGCCACTCTTCATTACATTTTCGTTTCTATGGTCGGAATCCTACGATGCTATTTATCACCATTCCCTTGGAGTTTTTGTCCTTGCGGCATTTACAGTGATTCAGTCAGGTGTCTCCTCCTCGCATTCGCGGGGATGGCTTTGACCCTGAAAGCTCTTACCCTCTGGTGTGGTTGTTGTTGCTACCTGGGGTAGTGTGGGATGATTGGCTGCCAGGCACCCCCGTTGTCTGTGCATTTAGGTGGTTCAGTTGGGGTCTGTGGTTGGCGGCTTCACCCATTGCAAGTGGGGCCTACCTTCTTTTTGTCTACTTCTGTTCGCTCGCCCTCCCCCTTCTTGTCGCATCGGTTGGGGATGCCTCTTGCCTATCATTCGGTCCGTGCCTGTTACCCGGCCGGTAGGGCTGGCTTTGGCTGACCCTGCTTGCCCTTTTCCCAGCTTGGTTAAACTTCAGTTCGGCTGGGTTGGATGGTGTGGCTGGTGCTGGTGCATTCAGGTATTGGTGCTGCCTCCTTTGTGGGTCCTGGCTTCGGCTGGTGGGCTCCCCTCAGCTGTATGGAGTCAAGGGTTGTGGCTCTCTTGGTACGGCCAAGACTAGTGGCTGCCTGATGGGGCTAGGTATAGCTGTCCTGTTGCTGTCGGATGGTTGACCTGTCTGAGGGGCTGGGGGGGATGGATGGGCTCTGTGGCACCTGCTGTGTGGGGCTTGGGGGAGGCTGATTGGGGGGGGAGAGGCACCTGTGAGCACTGGTCGGGCATGCGTCAGGTTGGGCGATGTCTAATTAAGTGTTTCAGGCCTGATGGGGCTGTTGGGTGAAGCTGTTGAGTACTGCAAAGCTCCTAGATGACCCAGATAGTTGATGGCCACCTGTGCGGATAGTGGGTTGCAACCACCTGGTTGGACTTGTTTGGGTCTTGCATGCTGGGTTTTGTGAGATTTATTTAATTTCTTTGGTTTAACGATGGGCATCGCTGGCAGGGGCAAGGCACCACGGATGGGAAATAGGGCCTGCTGGCTGTTTTAGGTCTGTCATGGCCTCTATGTATTTCTTTTGTTTATGTGTTTGTTGTGGAGGACAGGCAGTAGGTACAGGTCCTCCTCCCTATTATGCTCTTCAGAGGCACTTGGCAAAGTGAGTTCATAGGGTCGATGGCCGGGCATGCGGATGCGAGAGGTGGACATGTTGGTCACCTCCTCTCTGCCATTGTGTCACCTGCAGTTTTAGTTTGTGTGTATTTTGTGTTGGTTTTTTATTGTGGAGGAGGATTTGCGGGACTGTGTTCAGACCGGATGGTAGTGA